AAATTTCCTTAACATCATGGATATTCTAAGGCTGCATGCACCCCCCACCCCCCCCCCCCCCCCCCCCCCCCCCCCCCCCCCCCCCCCCCCCCCCCCCCCCCCCCCCCCCCCAAAACACATTGCGATCTAAAAATCAGTTTTCAAGAAAATGGCTTGCATGAGTGTTTAATAATTGTTGAACAAACTATCGCATGTTTTACCATTGTTGTATTATTCTCTAGCATGTTTTACCATTGTTGTATGAATTCTCTAGCATGTTTTACCATTGTTGTATGAATTCTCTAGCATGTTTTACCATTGTTGTATTATTCTCTAGCATGTTTTACCATTGTTGTATTATTCTCTAGCATGTTTTACCATTGTTGTATTATTCTCTAGCATGTTTTACCATTGTTGTATGAATTCTCTAGCATGTTCTGCCATTGTTGTATGAATTCTCTAGCATGTTCTGCCATTGTTGTATGAATTCTCTAGCATGTTCTGCCATTGTTGTATGAATTCTCTAGCATGTTCTGCCATTGTTGTATGAATTCTCTAGCATGTTCTGCCATTGTTGTATGAATTCTCTAGCATGTTTTACCATTGTTGTATTATTCTCTAGCATGTTTTACCATTGTTGTATGAATTCTCTAGCATGTTTTACCATTGTTGTATTATTCTCAAGCATGTTTTACCATTGTTGTATTATTCTCTAGCATGTTTTACCATTGTTGTATTATTCTCTAGCATGTTTTACCATTGTTGTATGAATTCTCTAGCATGTTTTACCATTGTTGTATGAATTCTCTAGCATGTTTTACCATTGTTGTATTATTCTCTAGCATGTTTTACCATTGTTGTATTATTCTCTAGCATGTTTTACCATTGTTGTATTATTCTCTAGCATGTTTTACCATTGTTGTATGAATTCTCTAGCATGTTCTGCCATTGTTGTATGAATTCTCTAGCATGTTCTGCCATTGTTGTATGAATTCTCTAGCATGTTCTGCCATTGTTGTATGAATTCTCTAGCATGTTTCTGCCATTGTTGTATGAATTCTCTAGCATGTTCTGCCATTGTTGTATGAATTCTCTAGCATGTTTTACCATTGTTGTATTATTCTCTAGCATGTTTTACCATTGTTGTATGAATTCTCTAGCATGTTTTACCATTGTTGTATTATTCTCTAGCATGTTTTACCATTGTTGTATTATTCTCTAGCATGTTTTACCATTGTTGTATTATTCTCTAGCATGTTTTACCATTGTTGTATGAATTCTCTAGCATGTTCTGCCATTGTTGTATGAATTCTCTAGCATGTTCTGCCATTGTTGTATGAATTCTCTAGCATGTTCTGCCATTGTTGTATGAATTCTCTAGCATGTTCTGCCATTGTTGTATGAATTCTCTAGCATGTTCTGCCATTGTTGTATGAATTCTCTAGCATGTTCTGCCATTGTTGTATGAATTCTCTAGCATGTTCTGCCATTGTTGTATTATTCTCTAGCATGTTCTGCCATTGTTGTATTATTCTCTAGCATGTTCTGCCATTGTTGTATTATTCTCTAGCATGTTTTGCCATTGTTGTATTATTCTCTAGCATGTTTTACCATTGTTGTATGAATTCTCTAGCATGTTCTGCCATTGTTGTATGAATTCTCTAGCATGTTCTGCCATTGTTGTATTATTCTCTAGCATGTTCTGCCATTGTTGTATTATTCTCTAGCGTGTTCTCCCACTGTTGTTTTGTTGTCTAACACGGTTTCTCATAGTTGTTGTGTTGTCTAGTGCCTTCTCCCATAGTTGTACTGTTATCTAATGTCTTCTCCCATTGTTGTATTGTTGTCTCATGTGATATACCATTATTGTATCATTGTCTCATGTGGTATCCCCTTGTTATATTGTTGTAGCTGTGTAAGCATGTGGGTGTGTGTGTGTGTAATTATGTATGTATGTAAATATATGTAGCTGTGTAAGAATGTGAGTATGTATTATAGATGTGTATGTATGTATAAAAGTATCTATGTGTGTGTATGTATGTATTATCTGGGTGTGTGTGTGATTGTGGGTGTGTGTGTATGTATGTGGATATATGTATGTATATTTAGGTTTGTAAGTATGTGTATTTATGTATGTATGTTGTAAGTATGTGGGTGTATGTGTGATTGTGGGTGTGGATGTATATAATGTATGCAAGTATGTATGTATGAATTCAGGTATGCATGTGTGTATGTATGTATGCAGGTATGCAAGTATGTATGTACAAATGTGGGTATCTATGTGTGTGATTGTATATGTGTGTATGCTTGCTATGTGTGTGTGTGTGTATGTATGGAATGTGTGTGTGCATATATGTCTTATGTATGTATGTGTGTGTGTTTTATGTTTGTGCATGTATGTCAATGTATGTATGTGTGTGTTTTATGTTTGTGCATGTATGTCAATGTATGTATGTGTGTGTTTTATGTTTGTGTATGTATATAGATGCGTGTATGTATGTATTACATGTGTCTGGATATGAGTGTGCATGTATGAGAATGTAAGAGTATGTATACTTTTGTGTGTGAGTGTTTGAGTGTAAGATTGTGTACACATGATGTGTGTATGCATTATTCTATAATGTGTATTTCTTTATTATATCCATAACATGCATTATTGACAACAGGCACTGGTACTCTGAAAATTGAGTACTTAGAAGGGCCGAATGTCAGACGGGTCTGCGTGCCCAATTTGTAACCCTTTAAAAATAAAGTTTGTTTGTTCGTTCATTCGTTCGTTGTCTAGTGTGACATCCCTTTGTTGTGTTGTTGGCTAATCTGATATATAAGTCACCTCCAGATTCATAAACATTCAACTGCAGTTTCGTGATGGATGAAAGAAAGAGTGGTCCTTATCACTTGTGATGAACTGATGAACAAATGTGATTTCTCATTGTTGTTTTGTTGTGTAGTATGTTCTCCCATTTTTGTTTCATTGTCTAGTGTGACCTACCAGTGTTGTATTGTTGTCTGGTATGTTCTCCCATTGTTGTATTGTTGTCTTGTGTGATATCCTATTGTTGTATTATTGTCTATGTGATATCCTGTTGTTGTCTAGTATGATATCCCATTGTTGTATTGTCTAGCATATTCTCCCATTTTTGTTTTGTTGGCTGGTTTGATATCCCATTGTTGAATTGTTGTTTAGTGTGTTCTTTTATTGTTATATTGCTGTCCATTTGTTCTGTCATTGTTATTTTGCTGACTGGTGTGTCCTCCCATTGTTATATTACTGTCTAGTGTGTTCTCCCGTTGTTATATTACTGTCTAGTGTGTTCTCCCATTGTTATATTACTGTCTAGTGTGTTCTCCCATTGTTATATTACTGTCTAGTGTGTTCTGCCATTGTTATATTACTGTCTAGTGTGTTCTCCCATTGTTATATTACTGTCTAGTGTGTTCTCCCATTGTTATATTACTGTCCAGTGTGTTCTCCCATTGTTTTTAGGGCTGTACCGAATATTCGCTTCGTATTCGCTTCGGGGCCGAATAGTGGACCTATTGGCTATTCGGTATTCGGCCGAATAGTGGCGGTCGGGCCGAATACGAATAGTAGTTACCTTACACCCGCTTCTGCATACATTGCCTTAATGCTGACAACATGGAACGATTGGTTTTGTTAAAATCTAATGCAGCTTTCCTGCATTAACTAAGCTGTCAGTGGCAATTTCCAAGTTTAGTTACTTGCTATAATACTTAGGATTCTTTCAATCCTAGTTATTAGTTACCACAGACTGACTGAAGGATGAAAACATAAAATGTTTTTAAATGTTTACAAATACTAACTAGACATGGAAAGAATAAAAACTCAGTCCACATCCAAGGCGATAATATGAAAATCAAACGAACGAAAACATATAAGTACTTGGGTGCAAACTTCAGCTGCTCCAACATGCTGAGAGAAGAAATACAATCTAGAATACAATCTAGAAATAAAGTATACTATGCCCTTCAACATCTGCTAAAGTCAAAGTGGCTGTCTCGCAACACCAAGATCAAAATATATAAAACGTTGATAAGACCAGTCTTTTTATATGGCTCTGAAATTTGAAGCAGAAATAAAAGAGATGAGGCCTTATTACAGGTTTTCGAAAACAGTCTTAAGACAAATCTTTGGACCCATCAAAAATGCTAACAGCGGGGAATCACCATTGATCACTGGCATCATGAGAGCTGACAGACTGAAATGGTTTGGGCATATTGAAAGAATATCAGATGACAGAGAAGTAAAAACTGTTTACGCCTGAGAGAGAAATGGGCGTAGACCACGAGGCAGACAAAAAAAGAAAGTTTGAGAGATAATGTCCAGCCAGGCTGCAAACAACGGGTGTCACAAATTGTGAAGATAAGGCTAGCCAGAGAGATGAATGGAGACGAGCGATATCTGCAGCAGTAAACCTCAGGGGCTCAGAATGCTAAAGAAGAAGAAGACTATTCTGTGCTACTTTATGTTAAGTAAAAGTTCAGCGTACATTTGACATTATGAATGTGTTTTTAAAATTTTTTTAAGATATATTTTATACACTATACACTATTCGTATTCGGCCGAATAGTTGGTCCCACTATTCGTATTCGGCCGAATAGTAAAAATCACTATTCGGTACAGCCCTAATTGTTATATTACTGTCTTGTGTGTTCTCCCATCATTATATTGCTATCCTGTGTACTCTCCTATTGTTTATCATAGAGGATGAATTTATCCTGGAGAATGAATGTTTAGGGAGAAAAAAATTCATCCTTGAGAACTAGTTTATTCTTGAGAATGAGTTGTCCATAAGAATGGGTTATGCCTGGGAATTAGTTTGTCCTGGAGAATGAGCTTATCATGGGGAATAGGTTTATCATGGATAATAAATTTGTCCTTGAGAATGAATTTATCATGAAAAAATAGTTTATCCTTGTGAATGAGTATTTTTGGTGAGAATGAGTTTATCATGGAGAACGTGTTTGGTCCTTGACCTTTGACACTTGACCCAGTTAAGCAGCATGGCCGGGAAGCAAACCTCAGGGCAATACTGGAATATTCTCCATTTAAACAGGAGCAGGAGCTTATTGATAAGATGAGAGCTTTTTCTGGAACTGGGACTCTGATTGTCATCTATAATCTGTGCAGGTTAGTCGACGTCATCCTCGCTGTATACTGAATCATTTGGTCCGTAATTGCTAAATTCCTGAACACGTACATTGACTCATTCAGTCCGTAATTGTTCACTTGTTGAACTCTTTATGCACTGAATCATTTAGTCCCTAATTGTTTACATTCTGAACTTGCTATACACTGAATCATTCAGTCCAATATTGTTCAGTTGTTGAACTCTTTATACACTGAATCATTTAGTCCCTAATTGTTTACATTCTGAACTTGCTATACACTGAATCATTCAGTCCAATATTGTTCAGTTGTTGAACTCTTTATACACTGAATCATTTAGTCCCCTAATTGTTTACATTCTGAACTTGCTATACACTGAATCATTCAGTCCCATATTGTTCATTGTTTGAAACTCTTATCACTGGATCATTAGTCTGTAATTGCTCTTTCCTAAATACTGTTGCACTAAATCACTTTTATCTGTCAGACGTCATGTAGCAGTTTTGAGCAATTATTGCACGTATTGATGCACTCTCTATACTGGTGCACTCATCTATACTGTATACACAAAAAAGAAACTCATTGCTACTGAAAAGAAAATATTGACTCATAGTTTTGACATTCTGCATCTTTGTAATGCAGTCAGTGAGAATACTCAAATTTCACACAGGAATACTTTTGGGTTCCTCTAATCAATTGACATTTTTTGTTCTTGTCTCGGTCATGATAAATTTTAGGCGTATGGCCTTTCCCATTAGTATAGTGTGTGGCCTTTCCCATTAGTATAGTGTGTGGCCTTTCCCATTAGTATAGTGTGTGGCCTTTCCCATTAGTTAGTGTGTGGCCTCCTCTTGCGTGGATCAGTGACTAGCATCTCCTGGGCATGGATGTGATCAGATGTCTGATGTGTGGCCTTTGGGATGGCTGCCCACCTTTTCTGGAGTGCCTGGAACAGATGACAACCATTTGATGGAGCAACGTCTCGGTGTCAAACACGTCTTTGCAGCTCATCCCACTCATGTCTGCAGACGGGGATAGCCAAGGAAAGGTTTTAATGTTATTGGCAGCCAGGAACTGCCTGGTCCGCCGTGCAGAATGGGGTCTGGCGTTGTCCTGCTAAAAAAGATATCTGTTGGCATCATAAAATGGAAGGACATGTGGTAGAAGAATTTTATTGACGTATCGTTGCGCATTAAAGCTTCCTTCAGTGTACACTAGTTGACCCCTTCCATTGTAACTGATCATTCTTTACACCATTACATCTCTGATGAAACGACCTCAGTGTTTTCAGAAGTTAGTACGCGTAATAATTCCTTCTGTTTATAGAGAGACCGAGAATTATATTTGCTATGACCTAAGCCCGAATCAAGTACTAAAACCACATGGGTTTAATTGTTACCAGTCCTTACCACAGACAAGACAGCCAGGCTTTGTTTAAATATTACATAACATTACCTAATATAGCCAAATGGTCTACCTGGGAAAGTTCCCACATAGTCACTGTTGGGTTTGATTGTAGAACTGAAGTGTTATCTAATCATCTCCTGACCAGAGACCCTTAGGGGCATGCAACTCAGTCATAAAACTAATTATCCCCCATGAGATTATCTTCCTTAAACTGCAGACCAGACCACAGAGAGTCACAAAATAGGTGGGTCATCAGCCAGGCTCGGCCCTTCAACTGATAGGATCAGAGTAATTAACCTGGTCAAGTAGAAAAGTCCAGACATGGCAGTGTCACCTGGACCAGCGTTTCACACCTGTCTGTTAGATTAATTGTAAACTAGATTGGGCCACTTAAGAATGTTTGCTCAGAGTGGTGGCCATCAAGAATTGACTGACAGGCACCTTGATAGCTAATTTGATCTGCAAGGTACTTCTGGGGCGGGGTTTAGAGCTTCTCTGGTAGGACAGGTTAGATACTAGAATGGGGAGGAGTTTAATCTGGACAATAGATTGAAACTTATACTGCTAGCATTTTAAATTTACCTCATAGTACTGCCAGCAAGCCACAAACTCAGACCTACAGTAGGAAGTATTTCTAGCTGGTTGAGTCTTGTTTAGCAATTGCTGGAACGTTCCCAGGTATGAGTGTATATTATTTTTAATCTTTTATTTATAGGTTAGGAGCTAGCTTAGTTAACTCTCCTTTTCCTGATTTTTCTACTCATTCTGCTTGAAATAGTTCTTGGTTAGTATTCAGTTATCTCAGTTAGGGAACTGCTAAACTATTCCTATTTCTTGTATGTTTGTGTCACTTGTTTTTCAGTGTATGTTTTCATGTGTATAAAATAAGATGTGAACAATGACATTTTCTATAATGATATGTAATTATAATGTTTCAATTATCAACCCAAAACATGTGCTTGGACTGAGGGAAAATCATGCCCACATGTGCAGCCGTGTGGTTGAGTTTTGATAGCTCACCATGTGCTCACTCCCTTTCCTGCGAGTACCATGTGCAGGTGTATTTACATGACGAGCCAAATATGGCTGTTTTCTTGGATATACAGGACTTTGTCTGAGATCAACATAGCTTGGATAATAGTCTAGTTTCTCTGGTGGAGGTGAAGTGTTGAGAGGAAAATTTCTACTCATCACAAAAGCATCTATCCACTTCGGAACCCGCGACAATCTCCACTACCGTGCAGCAGAACTTCATCAACAAAATTGGGCTAAACCTTCATTTCATCTACCGAAGACCCTACACCGTCTATCACGACACTGCTACAAAAAGAAAGATTCGTCACTGAAACAGACATGTCTCCACTGATTGTCACCTGCCTAGGGATGCTGTTGGTCGGCCCAGAGAAGTCGATTTTGGCGGCAACGACACATTAGGACAGGTCTTCTGTGTGGTTGTCATCCTCTTCTGTGTGGTTGTCATCCTCTTCTGTGTGGTTGTCATCCACTGCGATGTCGGTCTTAAACTGAATCATTGGCTTGGAACTGGAGCCAGTCGACTGATGGTACTCTGATGCACGTTTAGATACCTGGAAACCTGACTTTGACTTTTCCCCCTGCCTGCAATAGCAATATTCCCTAAATATATCGATAGAGGCGCCATTAGTGACTGCTTGAAAATATTTGGATATAGGGTTATTCTTTTATAGGGTTTTAGTTGCGTAGGCATTGAATAGTGTTCACCCCAAATTGTGCTACTTTTCTTTTGCACGTATCAAGAGCTATGCTCACAAATAGGGTCTTAAACACAATTTACCACTGCATTGTAACGATTACAAAAACCCATGCAATTCACGCCTTCATTTGTACACATGTTCAAAACTATGTGTACATATTCTATAGTTCTTTAGCTGTACACACATACAAAACTGTGTGTACATATTTTATAATTATCCAGTTGTACACATATACAAAACTATATGTACATATTCTATAGTTCTTCAGCTGTACACTTGTACAAAACTATGTGTAATTTTCTATAGTTATTTAGTTGTATACATATACAAAACTGTTTGTACATATTCTATAATCCTCCAGCTGTACACATATACTTAACTGTGTACACATATACAAATCTATGTGTACATATTCTATAGATTTTCAGCTGTGCTTCTTCTTCTTCTTCGTCCTCTTCTTCTTTTCTTCCACCATTTACCTCAGGATTGTTTGTGCGCTTTTCCCCAATACATTGTTAAAGTTGGTCGATACTGAGGCATCTCTCTTTTAAGCCATGTTGGCAAAATGTATGCCAAGATAATAAAAACAAGACTGAGACCAGTGATAGAACCACAGCTGGCAGAAGAACAGATGGGATTTAGAAGAAATAGAAGCTGCACAGAGACAATCTTCACACTTGAACAGTTAATAGAAAAGAACATTAGATACAATAAGAACTTATTTGTGGCATTCGTAGACCATAAGAAGGCATTTGACAGAGTCGACAGACAGTTATTATGGAAAGTAATGGCAAGATATGGAGTAAGCGAACACCTCATCGAAGTGTGCAAAAGTTTATACAGGGATTGTAGAAGTGTAGTTAGAATAAATCAGGGAACATCTCATCCATTCACAGTAATATCTGGAGTAAGACAGGGTTATGTCTTAACACCACTGCTGTTTATCACCTACATCGACAGTATATGCAAGAATGCCAAGCTCATGAATGAAAATGTTAGTAAGATCAACGAATTACTCTTTGCAGATGACCAGGCCTTGATAGCAGATACAGCCATGAAATTGCAACACCATCTAACATCCATGAATGAAGTATATAAAATAAATAACATGAGAATCAACACTGGAAAGACAGAAGTAATGTCAATAGGAAAAAAGAAGACAGATCTAAACATAGCAATAGAGTACAAAGGCATTAAACAGGCATCTGAGTTTAAATATCTGGGAACTACATTTACCGAAGATGGGAAATTGGATAAAGAAATTAACATTAGATGCAGTAAAGCAAACCAAGTATTGGGACAGCTAGCTCCCCTCTTACAGCATAAGACAATCCCAATCAGCACAAAGAGACATCTTATTCAAAGCATATTTATTCCAACTCTGTGCTACCAGTGCCAGACATGGTCACTCACAACAAACCTTAAAAGAAAATTAGAAACCATGGAAATGAGATGTCTGAGAAAGGCTGTAGGAGTGACCATAAGAGATAAGATCAGGAATGAGATCATAAGATACAAAGTCGGCACAGAACCAATTCTAAATTACATACGAAGACAGCAAGTGAAATGGTTTGCCCACTTAGAGAGAATGCCTTGTGACACCATACCATACAAAGCATACATGGAAAGAGAAGAAACGGTAGAGCCAAGGTAGACCAAGAACAAGATGGAAGGATAACATCAAAGAAACTCTACAACAGCACGATTTGCCTATGGTCCAGGCGGCCAGAAGAGCTAGAAACAGAACCTTATATCTCCCTCGACACCCACAGCGGTAAAAGAGGAAGTGAAGAAAAAAAAGAAGAAGATTGTACAAGTTGGTGTTTATTTCTGTTAGGTTGCTCCTGATGATGTTGCTCCATCTCTTGTGTGGTCTTCTCCTTGCTCTGTGTTCATTATATTTCTTCAGCATAGCTCTCTGTGGCAGCTGGTACCAGGACATTCTCCTCAGGTGGTCAAACAATCTCACTTGTTGTTTTTTATTGAATTGTATGACTGGTTTCAGTCCTAGTCTTTTTCTAACTTCTTTATTTCTGATTTTATCTCTTCTTGTCACACCAGAAGCTCTCCTGAGACATCTCATCTCTGTTGTTACGATCTTTTGCTCGTTAGTTGTAGTAAGCGTCTATGTTTGGCACTGGTAGCACAATGTCGGCCCAAAAAAAAAAAAAAACGTTCTTATGAGACTTGCTCTGGTTTACATTTTAAAAAATTCAGCTATTCACATGAACAAAACTATATGTATATATTCTGTAATTCTCCAGCTGTACACATGTACATAACTATTTGTGCATCTTCTATTGTTCATCAGCTGTACACATCTAAAAAACATAACTGTACATATTATGTAATTCTCAAGCTGTACACATCTAAATGACATAACTGTGTACATATTATGTAATTCTCAAGCTGTACACATATACATAACCATTTGTAAATATTCTATAATTCTGTTTCTGTACACATGTACATGTACAAAAACTGTTTGCACATATTCTATAATAATTGTCCACATGTACACACAGTATAGTTAGTGGCTTACTGAATAGATATAATCATTTGTGATATCACTGCCAAGGAAAGGAAATCTGAAAAGCTGCAACAATTATAGAACTATTAGTTTTACCACACCCCCAAGCAAAACTGGTATTATCTTTTATTTCTTACAGGGATGTGAGAGTTGAGATCTCACTGTAGAAATGGAAAGGACGATTCAGGCTTTTGAATGTAAATGCTGTAGAAACATTTTACGAATTAGTTATTTAGCTGTAGACACATTTTACGAATTAGTTTTTTAGAACACAAAACTCACAAATATATCAGAGACAAAATATACAAATTTGCAGGACATCAGGAGCCTCTCTTGGCAGTGGTGAAATGTACAAGCTAGCTTGGTTTGGGCATGTGGTGAGACATGATTCGATTGCAAAGACTGTACTTTAAGGAACATTTAGGGGTAGTCGAAGAGGAGAGTAAAGAAGAGCCTGGAATGACAACATCAAGTAATGGACTGGACTAAGTTATCATACATTTATTCATCAAGCGGGTTTTACATGCTAGTGCTTCCATTTAACACCTCTACGACTCTAATGCTGTACACTTGTACGTAACTATGTGTTAACATTCTGTAATTCTCCATCTGTATGCATGTACACAACTGTGTACATATTCTGTAATTCTCCAGCTGTACACATGTACCTAACTTCATATACACTTGCTAAAAACTGCCACACATGTGCAGGTGTCTGACCTTTTTCACTGACTGAAAGCTACTGAATCAAACTGTCACACATGTGCAGGTGTCTAACCTATTTCACTGACTGAAAGCCACTGAATCAAACTGTCACACATGTGCAGGTGTCTAACCTATTTCACTGACTGAAAGCTACTGAATCAAACTGTCACACAACATGTGCAGGTGTCTGACCTATTTCACTGACTGAAAGCTACTGAATCAAACTGTCACACAACATGTGCAGGTGTCTGACCTATTTCACTGACTGAAAGCTACTGAATCAAACTGTCACACAACATGTGCAGGTGTCTGACCTATTTCACTGACTGAAAGCTACTGAATCAAACTGTCACACAACATGTGCAGGTGTCTGACCTATTTCACTGACTGAAAGCTACTGAATCAAACTGTCACACAACTGGTGAATGTCATCTAAATGATTGTTGGTAAATAAAGCTTTATGTCAAGTTTTATACTACATCGTTTGTTTAATTACAAGTGTATTCAGTCTTACCTGTTCAACTAAACTGTTAGATAAAATTACATTTGGTGGGGGCTCTTTAATAATTCTTTACCAGGAGAAGGTTGTCGGGAAGGGGTCACCTGCCCTGTCTAACAATTCATTACTTAAAGTAATCTAGACATCTTAAACATCTTTCCTTTTCCTGCGGGTACCAAGTGCAGGTGTATTTACATGACGAGCCAAATATGGCTGTTTTCTTGGATATACAGGACTTTGTCTGAGATCAACATAGCTTGGATAATAGTCTAGTTTCTCTGGTGGAGGTGAAGTGTTGAGAGGAAAATTTCTACTCATCACAAAAGCATCTATCCACTTCGGGACCCGTGACAAGGCATATGTATACAGTAAAGTGAGTTTAGCACACAACATATACATGGCTGTGCATATTCTGCAGTTCATATGTACATGTAAAGATAACTACTTGTACATATTCTGTCATTCTGTGTCTGTACGCAGACATGTTCGTGCCTTAGTTCATAAAATTTGTTAAATATTTTCCTTCCAGGGTTGACAAATATGACAGAATAGAGCTAGATTTTACCAGTGACCCTCATGACATCCGTTGCCCTTACATCTCTGGGGGTGACCACGAGGATATGGTCAGCTACAGAAACTCACTCAAGGTCAGTCATTTCAGTGTGAATTAGGAATCAACATCACAGCTCTCCGGACACTCCCAAAAGCATTCCATCCCCATCTTCAGCTGCAAGTTAAGAGTTCAAAATCCAATGGCACCAGTAACCATCTGATTGCATATCCGTCTCATCCTTCCCCTGAGTGTTGAGATCCCCTGATAACTCCTCAGACCGTAATGATCTATCTGCACCTCCGCACTTTTCACTCCTTCCCAAAGGGCCCTCACAATATCTAGCTTGTCATACATCAGTTCATCACCAAGTGGTGCAGAGCCAGTTAGTCTATATACCTGCTCATTTCCCAACACACCAGCATGTCCTAGAGAAAATATTCAAAAGATGTTAACTACCCTGGACCTCTGAAGTAATGCTTGCCACTCTGCAGGAAGCATGCCTGTCTTCACCTTTCTCAACATGTTCTGTGAGTCAGTGCAATCACGGCATGTGTGTACAGCTAATTCTCAAGCCAGTGGAAGGCAGCAGTGACTGCTTCCACTTCCATTCTCAAACTAGACATTGTAATATCGTACGCCAGGTTTTGCTGCACTTAGCTACGTCCATTCGCTTTTCCTATGAGTGGTGCAGGGCTGGCCAGTCATATCAGTCAGCAGTATTATGTCTGTGAATTTCAGACATCATTTCTGCAACATGTCAGACATCATTTCTGCTACAAGTCAGTATGAGTATCTGTGTGAGAGAGTTATATATCTGTGAATGTCAGACATTGTTTCTGCTACATGTCAGTGAGAGTATCTGTGTGAGAGAGTTATATATCTGTAAATGTCAGGCATTGTTTCTGCTACAAGTCAGTGAGAGTATCAGTGTGAGAGAGTAATATATCTGTGAATGTCAGACATTTTTTCTGCTACATGTCAGTGAGAGTATCTGTGTTAGAAAGTTATATCCATGGACACGAAAAGATTTTCTGGCTGGCCTCTAGGGGAGCACTAAAAAGTGTCATGGGAGACATGGTAAAACATGAAATAAAGACATCAAATAATTCAAACAGACGGCTCTGGGATCCAGTTTGGTACTCACGGGAAGAATCACGATTGAGGGGTGTAATTTTATGTGCTTGTAGCTGTCAAAACTATCAGCATCCGTACTCTTGTGACATTCTTGTAAAGGTGACAGAACAGCTTCCAAACTCTTGTGACATTTTGTAAAGGTGACAGAACAGCTTCCATACTCTTGTAACATCTTGTAAAGCTGACAGAACAGCTCCCATACTCTTGTGACATCTTTTAAAGGTGACAGAACAGCTTCCAAACTCTTGTGTCATCTTGTAAAGGTGACAGAACAGCTTCCATACTCTTGTGACATCTTGTAAAGCTGACAGAACAGCTAATTCATTTTCTGTCCATAATCTTAATGAAATAATTCTTTTTCTGTCCATAATGTTAATGAAATAAGCAAAAATGATCACTTATACAGTATATTTGATAAGCTAAAAAAATTTTAATTATGAATGCTCTATATTTGGTATGATATTGACAGAACAGGATGATGAATAGAACACATGTGATAAGGACAAAATATGGTGATGACTAGAATATATTTGGTGTGATACGGACAGAATATGGTAATGAATAGAACATATGTGGTGTGATATGGACAGAACATGGCAATGAATAGAACATATATTGTGTGATATGGACAGAACGTGATGATAAATAGAATATATGTGGTGTGATATAGACAGAACATGGCGATGAATAGAACATTTTAGGTGTGATATGGACAGAACATGATGATGACTAGAACATATTTGCTGTGATATGGACAGAACACGATGATGACTAGAACATATTTGCTGTGATATGGACAGAACACGATGATTACTAGAACATATTTGGTGTGATATGGACAAAATGTGATGATGAATACAATATATATGATGTGATATGGACAGAACAGCGATGAATAGAACATATGTGGTGTGATATGGACAGAACATGGCGATGACTAGAACATATTTCTTGTGATATGTGTAGGCAATGATGACTATAACATATTTAGTGTATATGTCAACAGCAATACTGCAGCATTCTGTACCTACAGCCCAGGATGAAGAAAAAAATACGAGGTGTGCCTGTGAAGACCAGACTCATTGAGAAGTGTCTCAAACATGACTAGAACATATTTCTTGTGATATGTGTAGGCAATGATGACTATAACATATTTAGTGTATATGTCAACAGCAATACTGCAGCATTCTGTACCTACAGCCCAGGATGAAGATAAAAATACGAGGTGTGCCTGTGAAGACCAGACTCATTGAGAAGTGTCTCAAACACGCCCAAGTGGATAACTACCAACCCAAAGGGGTAAGACTTGAATCCTGCACTCCGTATATCTTCTTCTTCTTCTTCTTTTTCTTCTTCGCGTTCACCAGCTGTAAACTCTGGCGGAAGGTTCTGGTTGCTCGTCCACTACTGAACTGCAGTCCTGCTCCAGAACCTGAGTGTTGTGTGTGCATCAGTTTTACAAATCTCATTCTCTTGAATGCAGACTGTTGGTTCCTTGCCTCTCCGGCAGATGCACACCGACTTCAAAGGAAGCTCCCCAATTAGTCGACTCTTACGACATGCTTTTGGGAAGGCAGTGGGTCTATTCTTGTTTTCCCCACAATGGGGCCCCAGAACCCACACGGGGGACTCCGTATGTCAAATCTGGAAACACGGAAAGATGCCAACAACAATATATGAACACACACACTCACACAAACATACATACATATATACATTCATACATACATACATCTGCACACACACACACATACATACATACATACATAATACATACACACACACTCACACACATACATACATGCGCATGCATGCATTCACACACACATATATGTGTATATATGTATGTGTGTGTAACCCTGATACCATGAGTTGTTAACCATTTTGCTCGGTACTATGGATATTTTAACCCTTCAGCCTTAATTCCATGATAGATACTGTAAATCTGGGAGAAATTTGGCTTTTCTGCCTGCCCCCGGGCATGAGCCCGGACCACAAGGAGTTCATCAGCCGGTCGTCTCGCAGGTGTATATATTTGTACACACGCATATGTGTGTGTATATATATATATATATATATATATATATATATATATATATATATATATATATATATATATATATATATATATATATATATATATATATATATATATATATATGTGTGCGTGCGTGCGTGTGTGCGTGCGTGCGTGAGTGTGTGTGTACACACACACACACACACACACACACACACAAAGACACATGTATATATCCGAATTGGAACTCTTGGCTTGCTGTGAATATGTTGACGGGGTGCTTGTGGCAGAGTCCCATGTGCTACGTTGTTGATTGTTAATTCAGCATTCAATTCCAATTACAACATACATATAATGTTCCTGTTTATAGGTTAGTTGCCCCTGACTTGGCTGTTGTGTGGTTTTTCTAGGCAAATGTACGTCTAGTAGTTTGCCATTGTTTCTCTGGACGGTCAGCTTCTTTGATACCACTGTCGAAACCAACACAAGGCTCATGGTCTGCAGCTGGTATCTAACCCGGGATCCCGGCATTATGAAGCGTTCACATCCACTTAGCCACAGAGTCGATTATACTACAGCTAAATTGAAACATGTGTGCTTTATTAAAGATGTATCATCCAGTTTCAGACAAGATATAATTGAGCACAGATTGTTTTCTGCCAGGAAAGTAAAGCCTTCAGGATCACTTTTGGACAAGTTGCTGACACAGACACATCAGGTGATTACGGGATTATGTTTTATAGAGACAACAGACTCATTATACCATACGAGAAAGTTACGTGTCAGAAACAGGTCAGTATATGTTATTGTCAAACCTCTCTAAGAGATGTGTATCATGAGCTGCTTCAGCATTAGTTACTTGTTATTCTTTTTGAGGTAGTGATGCACCTGGATTTTATTCCGTTAGCTGCTGCCCTTTGGGATCCGATTCCCTGTTAGCTGCTGCCCTTTGGGATCCGATTCCCTGTTAGCTGCTGCCCTTTGGGATCCGATTCCCTGTTAGCTGCTGCCCTTTGGGATCCGATTCTCTGTTAGCTGCTGCCTTTTGGGATCCGATTCCCTGTTAGCTGCTGCCCTTTGGGATCCGATTCCCTGTTAGCTGCTGCCCTTTGGGATCCGATTCCCTGTTAGCTGCTCCCCTTTGGGATCCGATTCCCTGTTAGCTGCTCCCCTTTGGAATTTGATTCTCTGTTAGCTGCTCCCCTTTGGGATCCAATTCCTTCTTAGATGCCCTGGGATCTGATTCATTTTTAAATGCTTTGGGGTCGTATCCCCTCTTAGATGTCTTTAGATCTCAATTCTAATTCGATGTTTAGTAGGAAATTTTTTTAATTTCTCCACTCTTCCCTCTGCCTGTCTTTTTTTTTAAAAACGTTTTGTTTGTAATGGAAGTTGCTACCTTACTCTGGACAGGAGTTGTTTTCACTTGCCCTTAACCAGAGTTGCCACCCCTTCTCTGAACAAAAGTTATTTCCATATTCAACAGAAGTTGTTTTCCCTGTTCAGCAAGAGTTGTTTCTCCTGCCATTCTTTTCAAATGAGGCATGTGTGTACCAGGCTTACTATACACTTTACTTCAGCCTGTCCGGCACGCACACCTGCCATTGTATCCAGGGGTTTGTTCGCAACGTTAGTACTCACACTCAGCAGCTCCCACTCAACTGATGCATATGACTCCCAGCCACTGTCTGCTGTCTTAGGCATACGCAGCATATTTCCACATGGACACGATGATAATCACTGGCATCAACAACCAATAATCATCAGAATATGTCGGTCACTCGTCCTTCGGCCCATGTAGAGATACAATGCGCTGCAAGAATCCACTGGTTACAACTATGTCCTTCCGCCCATGTAGAGATACAATGCGCTGCAAGAATCCACTGGTTACAACTATGTCCTTCCGCCCATGTAGAGATACAATGCGCTGCAAGAATCCACTGGTTACAACTATGTCCTTCCGCCCATGTAGAGATACAATGCGCTGCAAGAATCCACTGGTTACAACTATGTCCTTCCGCCCATGTAGAGATACAATGCGCTGCAAGAATCCACTGGTTACAACTATGTCCTTCCGCCCATGTAGAGATACGATGTGCTGCAAGAATCCACGGGTTACAACTATGTCCTTCGGCCCATGTAGAGATATGATGCGCTGCAAGAATCAACCGGTTACAACTATGTCCTTCCGCCCAGGTAGAGATACGATGTGCTGCAAGAATCCACGAGTTACAACTATGTCCTGATGGCTGCTACCTTAAACGTTACCAGATCGTGCAGATACACTTTTCCGTAATTACCCGTGACTCTTTCTCTGACGTCTTCCTATAGCACATAGACTTTCACTTAAGGAATTACCCTTGACTTTTTCTCTGACATTTTCCTATATCACAGCGACTGAGGAATTACCCGTAACTCTGACATCTGCCTATATCACAGAGACTCTCACTTGAGTAATTACCCGTGACTTTTTCAGTAACATCTGCCTATATCACAGAGACTCTCACTTGAGGAATTACCCGTGACTCTTTCTCTGACATCTTCCTGTTGTGACACAGTTGTGCCTTTCACATCTCCCAAGCCTAGATGTGCCTAATTCGGAAATTAGTATATGATAGATACTGGTTGTAAGTTGATTATTGTGTTTAACAACATGGCCAGTGATGAAACAGTTGAGTAGTTATACGATTGTTTATTCAACAATATCATGTCAATTTATGCAGAATGAACATTTCATTTTATGCATCAGTATAACATCCTAGTATCTTATTAGTGGCTATTCATATGTCTGACGATAAGTTCTTTAATCTCTTCTAGCAAAGCAAAAACCAAAGTTTACTATATTTCTTCTAGCGAAGTAGAGTTCTCTTTGTCAGCTGCCTTCTCAAGTGTCCCGGCACTCACTGTCCCTTCTCTCCCCTCGCTCGCCTCCTCTTCTCACCCGCCTCTTCCTGGTGTGGGTTATCAATCACCGTCTGTCAATCTTCATCCTTTTCCATGTTATCGTCTTCAGGTGGTCGCCTGCATTCCTCGATGCTCTCGTGGTCTGTCTTATCGATCTGACACCTGCGTCTTTGCTCACTGAGCACTTGTTGACCTCAGTCTCTCTAGTGCATCTTCATGTGGTCTTTCCTGACCAGAGTTCCAGTCTAGTTTCTTGGCTTGCCCGCTTATAATGCGTATACATCCATCAATGTCAGATATCACAGCATTGTTTGGACAAACGCACTCTGTTCAACTCTCCTAACCCTATTTCATCACATTTAGCCCCTTAAATGTTTTTTTCAAATTGCTAATTATCTGCAATTCAACCTCTATCAACTACTCTAACTATACCTGCTACCCAACTAGACCTTATATGAACATCTAGACATGTAATGAAAGCACACATCACAATATGTAACGTAAAAAAATGTATGCAGCCTAAGAAAAACGTGAAATTCATACAGTAACCAATGGTCATCAATTCAAAAGACATAAAATAAATGATATCCCCCTCATCGTTTTAGTATAAGTACATCTGAGTCTCTGGTCACCCTAATGAATCTGCGGAGTTGTCTGAAGTATAAAGGAATAGTAGTTGTACTACCACATTATAAATTCAAACACGATCATTGTTCATGAAAGGTGATGTCTCCTTAATTCACATCAACGTGAAAACAGATACTTTTAGGACGTATATCTCACGAGTAAGATTTAATGAACATCTATATGATTACCAGTGAGATAAAATAAAATGATAAATATTGTAAAATATTTAAAATGGTTCATATATATATACACACAACAAGAAAAGACATGCCAGTTATCAGTAACGTAAAACTCGAGAGTGTCATTTCTCCAAGAAAGAAGAGAGAGAAAAAACCTCTGAGAAATTCAACATAGACTGATGAATGAAGCATAATATTTACAGAGTATAATAAATTCTTATACCGTTAGGTAAAGTGATTGAGGGGAACTTCTTATGAAAGAACTGTAGCATTTCTTCTGGTCGAATGTCCAATGCTACCTGGTGCGGTTGACATTTGTTTGTTTACTGTAAAAGTTGACAGGGTTTCTAGACGCTTCCTTTAGAGGTTAATACCTCTGTTCACTGCATATCGCAACTTCTGTCAGGAAATAGTCGGCCTGTATGTACTTACTAATAATTTCACATCTTAGGCTGGCTTATCTCCAAGTACGTTTCTCACTGTGTACCTCAGTAAAGTCTGTTTAAAGATGTTTACTTTCTCTAAGACTAATCATTTATTTTTCTGGCATAATGTCTGACGAGAGGCTTTTTGGCCAGTAACTCTCTTAGCAAACATACATTATGTAGGTATTATAATCTTTACCAACAACAGAACGTGTAGATTTTCACTTGTCACTGAGAGTACAATACAATTATGAAATGTTTATAGGGCAAAAAAACATGTAAATATTTAATGGCAAAGGACAAAACAACAGGTATATATGTAATAATCAAGGACAAACCACATATCGACACAACAAAAGAATGTATAGTGGGTGTGTTGGCTCATTACCTCTGTACCCCACAATATAGCGTACACAAATTATAACTAAATATACTAATGTATTGGTCACTGTACAACCCAACATTTATTTGGTCGTTTTACGACAATTTTCATTACAGTCAATCAGTGGAAAAAAAATGTTATTATTGTGTGGTTTAGTCAGGGTATAAATTCAGTCCACCCTCTGATGACCCTGACCCTCTTACTGTAGTTAATGCTAATTGTTCTAGTTCTGTTTCTTCTTCTGTCTTATCAGTTTTCTGTGTTTTTTTCTTTTGTTAAGGGATTAGTGATTTTCTTACAATTAATGCCTTTCTGACGTAAGTAAAGAAGTGTTATAAGTCCCAACATTATGCAAACCCTGATACCAGTATGATCCTGTTTCTGTGTGTTTTCTTGTAAAGTGTAAACCTGACTTAATTCGTGAATGAGATCATGAATGTCTATCGCACTAATATTCTTTAGATGTTGTGGCGTGTCCTGTACTTTGAATGTTGGTAACAATGTCTCTAGCGGTTCCCAAATGTCGCAGGTCCCGAAGTGGATAGATGCTTTGATGATGAGTAAGAATTTTCCTATCAACACTTCAGCCCCACCAGAGAAACTAGACTAATATCTGAGCTATGTTGATCTCAGACAAAGTCCTGGATATCCAAGAAAACAGCCATATTTGGCTGGTCATGTATATACACAACAGCTGCCCTTGGTACTTACAGGAGTAGAAGAAGGAGTAGATACATCATGATGAACCCAATGAGATAATATCAAGATACACAGTTAACACCTCCGACTTTCTCCTCTCCTCGTATTATTAATTAAAGAGCTCCCACCAAATGTAATTTTATCTAACAGTTTAGTTAAACAGGTAAGACAATTGCCAAACAAGACTCAACCAGCTAGAAATACTTCCTACTGTAGGTCTGAGTTTGTGGCTTGCTGGCATCACTATGAGGTAAATTTAAAAGCTAGCAGTATAAGTCTATTGTCCAAATTAAACTCCTTCCCTTTCTAGTATTTAACCTGCGATAAATTTAAAATGCTCGTAGTATACTAGTAAAGTCAACTCCTCCCCTTTTGAGTATTTTACCTGTCCTATCGGAAAAGATCTAAGCCACGCCCCTGAAGTACCTTGCAAATCAAATTAGCTATCAAGCTGCCTGTCAGTCAATTCTTGACGGTCACCACTCTGATCAAACATTCTTAAGTGGTAAAGACCTAGTCCTAGACCGTGTCACTGACAGGTGTGAAAAACTGGTCCAGGGGAAGCCACCATGTCTGGAGTTCCCGACTTCACCAAGTTAACTACCCTTATCTTATCAGTTGAAAGGACCGGTGTATAAACTTTTTGACACCAGGGACTGATCTGCAGCTCAAGAAAGATAATCTCGGGGGGGGGGGGGGGGGGGGGGGGTGGGGGGGGGGGGGGGGGGGGGGGGGGGGGGGGGGGGGGAGGGGGCATAGTAAAGGGCATAGTAAATATAACTCTATAAACAAAAGAAATTATTACGCATACTTACTTCTGAAAACACTTAGGTCGTTTTGTCACACTTTCTTCTTGTCAGTGGTCCTCTTCTGCTGCTTTTTCTGCTTGGAGGTTCAGAGTCATTTCTAGCAGGTTTTTCTGGGTTTGTTCAGCTTTTGCTAGCAACTTTGTTTGCTGTGAGAATTTTTCTAGTCTGTCTTCTTTCAAGGCTTTGATTTCACCACGCATCTGTGATATCAGGTCTAGCATTTGGATTCTGTCAGTGTCCGTATTGTCAACCTTTTGCTTATGGAGAGATCTGATTTCAGCTAACATCTCAGAAATTTGTTGTGTAATTTCAGGGTCCTTTGTGGCGGGGATCGCCATATCAACTCTTATGTCTGATGTGCGTTGCGTTGACTTTCCTCTTGGTTGCTTTGGTACTACTGGAAACCTGGGTGCCTCATATCTCTTTCTGGCTATTTCATGGGCTGTTGTTAGTGCCTTCTTGCACTGCTGGAGATACGGGCAGCCCTTGTATCTCACGCTGTGTGCTCCAGAACAGTTGGAGCATTTGCGGTGGCTGTCGGATTTTTGAAATTAGTGTCAGTTTTGGCTAGCGGACACTCCTTGAAGTCGTGGGCCCCAGAACAGTATCTGCACGAAAGGCAATAGTGTTTCCAGGAGCACCGGCTTTTTATCAACTTCTGATTCCCAAGTTTGCCAGATTTTTGACCGCTTGCAGCCTAATCACCCGGCTACACTAGCACTAGATAGTAATACCAACAAGCTGACCTCAACTTTGACACTTCTCTCTGTTTCCCCTATCGTATAACATGAGGCATGTTTTGCTCTGGCCTGCCTCCAGTTCTCACCGGTAGTAAACTATTATTGGCAATTTTAGTCGAGCAAATACACAAGGGGTAGAAATGGGTTGACAGGAACTCACACAACAGCATTTTCTACCAGACCTTTATAACATTTAGACGACATTGTAGAGAGTAGTGTTACTGTTGCAAAATTAGAGGTGCGATAACTGATAACCATGGGCAAGTTGAGGCACTAGTGTATGTACTGATGTTTCGTTTCATGTAGGGGAAGATTTTCCCGGGGTTTCTCAACTAGAATAAAAGGAAGGGTCGTGGCAGAACAGAATGCAGCTTTTTATCTGCAACTTCATAAATGATGATGGAGGGGGAGATAATCAATGCAGCTCTGAAGGGGATAGCTGAAAATAAAGTTACCAGGGGAAATCACTGTGTCTGATTCTCAGTTGGCATTGCAAAAGTTCAAAATGTAATAGACACCAGGCATCCCCATGTCTACATTACAGGGTCTCACGAGGATAAACAGTCTGGAATATCCTGGAGTGCCAGGCAATCAAAGAGGAGATTTGTTGGCTACAAAACGATAGTTACTGAAACACTGCTATAGGACAAAGGAGACATAATGAAGACCATTTATGAACGAACTCTCATGAAAGATATGATTTTAGATAAACAGTAAGTAAGGCTATATGAATGGGGAATTACATGTAAATACAGCAAGAAAGAATGGATGAGAGGAAGGAGAACGACATGTGTACAACCAGTGTGCTGTAGAGACAGTCATTATCTACACCTAAAGACATTTGCTGCAGGAGACAGAGCATCTGTGGTTATGCCCGTTGTCAGGGTCTTGTGTTAGTATAGAATAGTGATGGTCCATGTTTGTACTTGGATTATCGATAGTTGACCCACAGTTCAGACAGATAGAATAGTGTCGGTCCTTGTTTGTACTTGCATGACCGATAGTTGACCTACAGTTCAGCCAGATGAATTCACAACAGCAGTAAATCATGAGTGGGTGGACGTTTCGCTTGCGTGTTCCCGAGACTTGCATGGATTGGACTGAGTTTTGGGACGGTGACAAAAACTACGGGTGAAATCATACAGAGGAGAGTGTTCTTGAAACAGGAGGCATCTGATAGCATGACGATTTAGAATTCCAGAGTGTCATGGTGATATTGTAGCATCCGATAGCTTATGATAATGGGTTTAGTTTGGTTATAGTAGTCCTTCTATGTTGTATAGCATTAGACGGAGATAGTGTTCTGTATAATGCGTTACATAAATAGTTGTTGAGGTATTATGGTAGCCAGGGTTGGTTTGGACTGGCTGTTAGGATATTATATATTTCTGCACACTGTTCTCCCCCACTCCACCTACACTTTGTAGTCACTGCGTGATCCTGGTGGAATCCAGTGGCAGAGGACAGGAGGTTATCAGGAGCAGTGTGAGTTTGGTCCTGAGTATTATCCATGTGGACGGGAAGGCGTGCATGGTGATTTGTTAAGCCAACACAGCCTGCATTTCGGATAAGGAAGCCCATATCTTTTGACGTCAACTACCACGTGTTAGCTTGTGCTTTACATTAAAGATTATTTTGTGTAATCTTTGAGTGTTTGGCCTAGTGTGTTTTTGGATAAATTGTCTGTCACAGGCCTGAACACGAGCCAGTACCATCACGGTAGATCAATGTCACCCGGGGTGCTATGGCTTTGATTCCAGTAAAATCATTTGATCAAGGTTTTTTGCAGGACTGGACACATTTGATTAACTAAAATTATCATTATTAGCGTTCCACAGACAGCAGGATATAAGAAAGTGATACTGTTATTGTTAGCTCAGTTTAGTTTATGTAGACATTCAATGACAAATGTCAGCTGAGCTATCTTTGAGTGGAGTTGACATTGCTGTCCCCAGAATGATGGAGTCGGTTTGGGAATTGTGGGAGTGACAGATGCAGGCTTCCTAACTCCAACACAAAATAAGCAGGACTTTGTTAGAGATGGGAAGTTTATGTGAGTATCCGGGTGCCTAGCAAAAACAAAGAATCTCTCTCTCTCTCTCCTAGTCCAAACTCTCTCTCTCTCCTAGCCCAAACCCAAACTCTCTCTCTCTCTCTCTCTCTCTCTCTCTCTCTCTCTCTCTCTCTCTCTCTCTCTCTCTCTCTCTCTCTCTCTCTCTCTCTCTCTCTCTCTATCCTAGCCCAAACTCTATCTCTCTCCTAGCCCAAACTCTCTCTCTCTATCTCCTAGCCCAAACTCTCTCTCTCTCTCTCTCTCTCTCCTAGCCCAAACTCTCTCTCTCCTAGCCCAAACTCTCTCTCTCTCTCTCTCTCTCTCTCCTAGCCCAAACTCTCTCTCTCTCTCTCCTAGCCTAAACTCTCTCTCACTCTTTCTCTCTCTCTCTCTCTCTCTCTCTCTCTCTCTCTCTCTCTCTCTCTCTCTCTCTCTCTCTCTCTCTCTCTCTCTCTCTCTCTCTCTCTCTCCCCTCGCAGTCACACACAAACTGTAAGTATACAAACACTTGATCCCCACAGTCACAAACATACTGTAAGTATACACACACTTGGTCCACACAGTCACAAACATACTGTAAGTATACACACACTTGGTCCACACAGTCACACACATACTGTAAGTATACACACACTTGGTCCACACAGTCACAAACATACTGTAAGTATACACACACTTGGTCCACACAGTCACACACATACTGTAAGTATACACACACTTGGTCCACACAGTCACACACATACTGTATGTATACACACACTTGGTCCACACAGTCACACACATACTGTAAGTATACACACACTTGGTCCACATAGTCACAAACATACTGTAAGTATACACACACTTGATCCACACAGTCACAAACAAACTGTAAGTCTCTGCACACTTAGTCCATACAGTCACACACATACTGTAAGTATATACACACTTGGTCCACACAGTCACACACATACTGTAAGTCTCCGCACACTTGGTCCACACAGTCACACACATACTGTAAGTCTCTGCACACTTGGTCCACACAGTCACACACATACTGTAAGTATACACACACTTGGTCCACACAGTCACACACAAACTGTAAGTATCCGCACACTTGGTCCACACGTCACACACATACTGTAAGTATACACACACTTGGTCCACACAGTCACACACATACTGTAAGTATACACACACTTGATCCACACAGTCACACACATACTGTATGTATCCGCACACTGTAAATGCTTACATATACGTTTATAAACATCCTCCTGTTTTTAAAAAAATGTATTTTATTTTGCTTTTTTTCCTAGAGCGGCCATGATTTCTTACAGCAAAAAGTTGAAAAACTACTGGACCAATATACATGATACAGTCTCAGGCTCCAGGTAACATATAGATGTTGAATGTGAGAGATAACTGACATAATGAATAGATATTGAATGTGAGAGATAACTGACATAATGAATAGATATTGAATGTGAGAGATCGCTGAGGTTACATTTAGATTTTGAATGTGAGAGATAGCTGAGGTAACTTATAGATATTGTATGTGAGAGATAGCTGAGGTAACTTATAGTTATTGTGTGAGAGAGATAGCTGAAGTAACTTATAGATATAATATGTGAGAGACAGCTAAGGTAACTTATAGTTATTGTGTGAGAGAGATAGCTGAGGTAACTTATAGTTATTGTGTGAGAGAGATAGCTGAGGTAACTTATAGATATAATATGTGAGAGATAGCTGAGGTAACTTATAGTTATTGTGTGAGAGAGATAGCTGAAGTAACTTATAGATATAATATGTGAGAGATAGCTGAGGTAACATTTAGTTATTGTGTGAGAGAGATAGCTGAGGTAACTTATAGATATTGTATGTGAAAGATAGCTGACGTAACATAGAGATATTATATGTGAGAGATAGTTTAGGTAACATAGATATTGTATATGATAGATAGCTGAGGTAACTTATAGATATTCTAAGTAAGAGATAGCTAAGGTAACATTTAGATAATGTGTGTGAGAGATAACTGAGATATCATATATATTGTATGTGAGAGATAGCTGAGGTAACATAGATATTGTATGTAAGACATAAATGTAGTAAAACATGGCTAGAAAGAGATAGCTGAGGTAACATATAGATATTATATATGAGATATAGCTGAGGTAACATATAGATATTATATATGAGATATAGCTGAGGTAACATATAGATATTATATATGAGATATAGCTGAGGTAACATATAGATATATATGAGAAATAGCTGAGGTAACATATAGATATTATATATGAGATATAGCTGAGGTAACATATAGATATTATATATGAGATATAGTTGAGGTAACATATAGATATTATATATGAGATATAGCTGAGGTAACATATAGATATTATATATGAGATATAGCTGATGTAACATATAGATATTATATATGAGATATAGCTGAGGTAACATATAGATATTATATATGAGATATAGCTGAGGTAACATATAGATATTATATATGAGATATAGCTGAGGTAACATATAGATATTATATATGAGATATAGCTAACATATAGATATTATATATGAGATATAGTTGAGGTAACATATAGATATTATATATGAGATATAGTTGAGGTAACATATAGATATTATATATGAGATATAGCTGAGGTAACATATAGATATTATATATGAGATATAGCTGAGGTAACATATAGATATTATATATGAGATATAGCTGAGGTAACATATAGATATTATATATGAGATATAGCTGAGGTAACATATAGATATTATATATGAGATATAGCTGAGGTAACATATAGATATTATATATGAGATATAGCTGAGGTAACATATAGATATTATATATGAGATATAGCTGAGGTAACATATAGATATTATAAATGAGATATAGCTGAGGTAACATATAGATATTATATATGAGATATAGTTGATGAAACATATAGATATTATATATGAGATATAGCTGAGGTAACATATAGATATTATATATGAGATATAGCTGAGGTAACATATAGATATTATATATGAGATATAGCTGAGGTAACATATGGATATTATATATGAGATATAGCTGAGGTAACATATAGATATTATATATGAGATATAGCTGAGGTAACATAGATATATATGAGATATAGCTGAGGTAACATATAGATATTATATATGAGATATAGCTGAGGTAACATATAGATATTATATATGAGATATAGCTGAGGTAACTTATTGTAAGTGAGAGATAGCTAAGGTGACATATAGATAATGTATATGAGAGATAACTGAGCTAACATAGATATTTTATGTAAAAGATAAATGAGGCAACACATAAATATCACATGTGAGAGATGACCGAGGTTCACACAAATGACCATCTTCCTGTGATGTTTCACACATATGACTATCATCTTTTGTCTTGTTCATACAGATGACATCCTTCTGTGACTAGTTCACACAGATATTTAATTTACATTCCTGTGTGTAGTTCACACATATATTTATCTTCCTGTGCCTAGTTCAAACAGATGTTCATCTTCCTGTGCCTAATTCACACAAATGTTCTTTTTCCTGTGCCTAATTCACACAGATGTTCTTTTTCCTGTGCCTAATTCACACAGATAACCATGTTCCTGTGCCTAAGTTACACACATGTTCTTTTTCATGTGCCTAATTCACACAGATATTCTTTTTCCTGTTCCTAATTCACACAAATGTTCTTTTTTCTATGCCTAATTCACACAAATAACCATGTTTCTGTGCCTAAATCACACAAAAAACCATGTTCCTGTGCCTAAATCACACAAATAACCATGTTCCTGTTCCTAATTCACACAAATAACCATGTTTCTGTGCCTAAATCACACAAATAACCATGTTTCTGTGCCTAATTCACACAAATAACCATGTTCCTGTGCCCAAATCACACAAATAACCATGTTCCTGTGCCTAATTCACACAAATAACTATTTTTATGTGCCAAATTCACACAAATAACCATGTTTCTGTGCCTAAATCACACAAATAACCATGTTCCTGTGCCTAATTCACACAAATAACAATTTTTCTATGCCTAATTCACACAAATAACCATGTGTCTGGGCCTAATTCACACAAATAACCATGTTTCTGGGCCTAATTCACACAAATAACCATGTTTCTGTGCCTAATTCATACAAATAACCATGTTTCTGGGCCTAATTCACACAAATAACCATGTTCCTGGACCTAATTCATACAAATAAACCTGTTTCTGGGCCTAATTCACACAAATAACCATGTTCCTGGGCCTAATTCATACAAATAACCATGTTCCTGGCCCTAATTCACACAATTAACCATGTTTCTGGGCCTAATTCACACAAATAACCATGTTTATGTGCCTAATTCACACAATTAACCATGTTTCTGGACCTAGTTCATACAGATAAGTGTCCTTTTTTTTTATAGTTTATGTGGATGCTTATCTTCCTTTGCTGGTTTGACATTTTCAGCCTGCCCATTCAGTTTTTACATCCTTCTAAAGAGAAAATCATCTTATATAACTGCCCCCACCTGTGTAAACACAAACATCTAGTTATGTCATGTCCTGTGTAAACACAAACATCTAGTTATGTCATGTCCTGTGTAAACACAAACATTTAATTATGTCATGTCCTGTGCAAACACAAACATCTAGTTGTGTCATGTCCTGTGTAAACACAAACATCTAGTTATGTCATGTCCTGTGCAAACACAAACATCTAGTTATGTCATGTCCTGTGCAAACACAAACATCTAGTTATGTCATGTCCTGTGTAAACACAAAAATCTAGTTATGTCATGTCCTGTGTAAACACAAACATCTAGTTATGTCATGTCCTGTGCAAACACAAACATCCAGTTATGTCATGTCCTGTGTAAACACAAATATTTAGTTATGTAATATCCTGTGGGTTTGGTGTTTCCCTGTTGCTGTTGCTGGCTTGTTAGTATCCATCTTGTTCCCTTATGTCATGTTCCTGTTGTCCATTGTGTTTGTTGAACATCTGTTCATTGTGTTGCCACAGACTGGCTGTCTGTAATATTGATGGATTCACTGTTTGTTGCTAGCAGCTCTGAAGATACAGACTGGGTCCAATGTGACAATAAGGACTGTCTAAAATGGCGTCGACTGCCATACGGATATGACACCAGCACTCTGCCACAGAAGTGGTACTGTCATCTGCATCCGAATGACATGTAAGTTTTCTGATGTCTGACAACTGTACGCTACTCTCTTCACACATGACATGTCAGTTTTGGGTTGCAAAAATATGTACCTGATATCTACATACACACTCTACACAGATATGTGAATCCTGATGTGTGGAGACAAAAATAAGTACTTGATATTTACATACACTCTACACAGATATATGAATCCTGATGTGTGGAGACAAAAATATGTACTTGATATTTACATACACTCTACACAGATATATGAATCCTGATGTGTGGAGACAAAAATATGTACTTGATATCTACATACACTCTACACAGATATATGAATCCTGATGTGTGGAGACAAAAATATGTACTTGATATTTACATACACTCTACACAGATATATGAATCCTGATGTGTGGAGACAAAAATATGTACTTGATATTTACATACACTCTACACAGATATATGAATCCTGATGTGTGGAGACAAAAATATGTACTTGATATCTACATACACTCTACACAGATATATGAATCCTGATGTGTGGAGACAAAAATATGTAGGTGATATTCACACACACTCTACACAGATATGTGAATCCTGATGTGTGGAGACAAAAATGTGTACCTGATATTGACACACACTTTTCACAGATATGTGAATCCTGATATTTAGAGACAAAAGTATGTATCTGATATTTACACACACACTCTAACATGCATGCATACATACAGATACTTACACACACTCCTACACACATATACACTAATTCACACACATATACACACACTTAATCTTAGATATATACACACACACACTCATACATATACACACTCTGACATACATATACACTGACATATACACACCTGTACATACACACTCACTTATCACTAACTTATACACACATAAACACTCTGACATATACACACTCAGACATATACATACACTGACATATACACACCTGAACATACATACTCACTTGTACACTCATATGCATACATAAACACTCTGACATACACACACTCAGACATATACATACACTGACATATACACACCTGTACATACATACTCACTTATACACTCATATGCATACATAAACACACTGACATACACACACTCAGACATATACATACACTGACATATACACACCTGTACATACATACTCACTTATACACACATATGCATACATAAAC